GAACGTCAGTGGTATGCTGTATGAATGGCAGCTAGTATATCCTTGCTAAACATTACTGTTTGGTTGACATTCAAAAAGAAATGAGGCAATTTGAATCACTTTTATCAAAGAAATTTAGTTGGCCAATTATACAATCAACCAAAATTACGCCTTTTTGGTGGTATTTTAAAAGAATTCTGATAGTGAGCCAATTTTGCAGTTTCTTTGAAATTTCATGAAGCTCTCACCTGTTATAGTTTATACTTGAATTTTTCATTCTAGCAAATTTATCAAAGCTGGCTCTAAGCGAATAGCGACAAAAGTTGATGGAAAACAGGCTGTCTTAGCTACTGCTGTCAATTATCAAGGTAAAATATCGTTTTTCTTTTTTCATAACTCTATAACACATTTTTAGGACGTAGAACCCTAGTGCTACTCAATCACCACGATGATTCGCAGGATGTGGTGATCACAGACTCCGCTACGGGACATCATATTAGTTTGAATGTTGATCCACATTGTGTAGTTACTGTATTATGGGAAAGGCAATAAAAAACCTTCTTTGGTCATAGCTGCTCCAATCGGTAGTGCATTTTTCGTTTTGAACGTGCATGGACACCTCACAATTGACTTGTCTCAGGGTAATAGGAGAGAAAAAGATGGATCCTGTAATGCAGACTGTTGTTTTTCAAAATTCGTTAGGCCTCATAAAAACCATGACATCTGACATGATCGCAATTTCATTTGGTTATATGCTGACCAAAGAACAAATGTTATTGTTACGAGGCGTGCGATATATTCGGTGGAGAAATATTTCATAAGAATATTGTCTGCAAATCGGATAGAAACCTGAGCATACAGTCTGTATGATACTGTAGAGATACGTTATTATCAAAATTGCTTTAACTGTCGTCCTTACGAAAACAAGCTTCATAGAGAAGAAATAACATCAATCCATTAGAATTAAACTTAGAACAAACTCGTACTGTGTTGATCCTACCAATTTGTTAACCAACCAACCCGGAGCTCGCAATCACGCTACCTAGTGCAAAACTGACTATGGTTTAAACGAAAGTTATGAATGCTTCCCACGGCACAATCTTGCTTTACGATTATGGCAGGTAAACGATGCAAAGTCAAATTTACTAATTTGCCTAAAAAATGATCTACTGGGGTTACATGCTGATCACAAAAAATACATCGATTCCTTATGGTAAAGCCACTACAGTGGATCAATTACCCAATGTATCTTTTTGTAATAGAGTAATTCAGGCCATCGTATACAAATCCTAGTTTTACAGTGAGGGCTTACTGAACAATATGGGAATCATATCCGTGACTAGCATGTCAAATCAAATTACCTACTAGGCCACCTTTTAAAAAAATCTAGAATTTTGACCTTTGTAGCATAAACCTACCGTAATCTTACAGTTTGACCCTAGGAGGATAAGCATATCCTATTATCCCGCAAGGTGCCATTAACATTTCGCAAATTTTTGCAATTCAAAAACTTAAACTGTCGGTTGAGCTTTTTTCAAGTGCAACTTCTACCGAAATTAGTGGATAAGCCAAGTTTACTTTCTTGTAGAAGAAAAACTCTTTTTTTCTAATGGTATAATGTATCGCCAAAACTTGCGGTTTGAAAAAAGCGGCACGAACTCATCCGACAATTTAATACATGACGAGGGATGTATGCATACAATGCTCGGTGGTTAGTTGTTTATGACGAGCTGTTAGACATCTCAGAGAGAATTTCGATGATGAACTTAGTCAAAAATCGAGCATCTTTTTTGATCTATTGAATTCTAGAGCGGTTCAAAGTCCATAGGACTACTTATTGTGAATGTTGAA